CTTCCTTCCTTCCTTCCTTCCTTCCTTCCTTCCTTCCTTCCTTCCTTTCTTCCTTCCTTCCTTCCTTTCTTCCTCACTGTCCTGTGCGTGCTCTGCCCAAAAGGAATGCAAATTTAAAGTTACCCAAATCACTCTGGTTCTCATTGGTTGCCCAATAGGTCCCAGGCCAAGCCCTACTTGGCCATTGCTCGGGCCCTGATTGGCTCAGAATGAATGTAAATACCAATTGTTTCTGTTTTGGTTGGAAGCCCTGAGTGTCTTCCCCTCCCGGATAATTTTTTTTTTTAAAGAGGTCAGTCTTTGCTTCATTTTTTATTAAGCCTTAATCACTGAACAGACTTTGCCTCAGTCAAACTGAGACCTGTTAATGAATTTTAGCTTGAAAAGGTCAAGGATCCCCACTGCACCCTGGGCCATCTCCAGTTGTCCTGATCTCTGGCCACTGAACCCAGATGGCTCCGGAGGAGAAAGTGAGGCTGGTGACTTTGCCCAGCTCTCCCTCACTTAAATCCAATTCAGTTGCATGTCATGACAGCACCTTTCTGACATGGTCCTCTTTGAGAACGATGGGCAAGCAGCAGCAAGTAGCCTTTAGGGAGCTCCACGGATGGGAAGTTCTTCCTGACCTCCAGCCTAAAGCCGCCTCTCAGCATTTCCACTTCTTGCTCTTTCTAGGGCCAGACAGAGCGAGTGGATCCCTCTGACTGTTTCCCTCTGACGAAGGAACCTCTCATGTCTTATGAGTCTTCTGTAAGTTCCAGAGGCTCCTGTTGCTTCCAGCACATTCTCATCCGACTCTAGGCCCTGCACACTTTCCAATTCATCTGTGTTCCTGCTAAGCAGAGAATTCCAGAACTGAGCCCCAACCTCCAAATGGACGGGGGGTAGGGCACAGGACAGAGACCGTCACCTTCCTAGTCCCGGACGCTACCTAGGTCTCCTGACGTATGTGTGTAGAGAAGTTCGCGTCCAGCAGAGGGCGTCTGCGAGAAGAGCTCACCGAGCTCACCGGGGCTTGGGGCTGGCGTGGACAGGGAGAATCCCAGCCTGCCTGCGGCTCGGTGAAGGAAGAAAGGAGGAAGCGCAAGGGATCGGGCAAGGAACACGGAGAAGTCCCCTGGTGCGGAGGCACAGGGCGCAAGAGAGAAAAGGGCCAGAGGCAGGGAGCCACGGGAAGGCAAGGGTAGCACCCTGAAGGCCAAGGGAAAGCCGGAGGGCGGGGAAGTAGAGGCACAAGCTGGCGTCCATTCGGGCGGTCGGGGAAAAGGGACAGGGTGCAGGAATTAGCGTGGGGCAGAAACAGGGTTAGACTTCGGCGGTCAGGAGAAGAGGACGGCGTGGAGACCTGGGCTGCACAGACATTTAGTGAGTTCCCCTCCCGGTCCGAGGCTTGATGACCACTTGGCAGGGCTAGCAGATTGGGTTTTCGTCCGAGGCCCCGTCCAGCTCTGGGAAGGAGAGTCAGGAACCGGGAATACGCAGCAGATTTCTCAGGCGGGGACCAGGGGTCTGCACCCGAGCACGGGAGGGTGGGGGGCAGACGGAAAGAACATCTTGAGGGTGTGGGTGAGAGTGTTGGGACGGGCGGGGGGAGGGGAGCGTTAGAGTCCGTTACTGCTTCTGTGGGACAGCGCGGGAATTCCGGGCAGAAAGTTGGATTCTGCTGCGTGGCACCTCCCGGCCCCCTCCTCGGGCTTCTCTCCCTTCCTGCCCCCCCCGGGGGGGTGGGGTGGGAACTGAGCTCAGAGGCGGGTCCCTCGGGCCGAGCCTCCCTCTGGGGGCGAGTGGGTGTAACGGGGTCCGCTCCCTCCACACGCTGCTCCATCGCCTGGGGGAAGGGGAGGGGTGCACTAAGCCTCCCGGGGCCGAGGAGGGAGCCCCTCCCCGATTCCGACGCCCAGCGCGGACCAGGTGGGAGGGGGGCGGGGAGGGAGGAACCAAGGGAGGGGGGAGAGAGGGGCCGGACCCGACCCGAGCTGGGAGGGAGCTACTCCCCCCTCCCCACCCCCGCCAGGGCCCCGGGGCCCCCAGCAGGCTCTACTTAAGGCAGCAGCGCCCGCAGCCCTCTCTACCCCTCCTGGATCTCTCTCACTCTCCCCCAACGGAAGATGCCTTCGACCGTGAGCTGCGTGAAGAAGTTTAAGACTTTCCTGATCCTGTTTTTAACCCCTTTGCTCCTGCTGCCCGTCATGGTGGTCTCCAAGTCCAAGGTGAGGTTGGGCCGGAGGCGGGGGACCGGGGCTGGGCTTGCGCTTGAGCTCGGGGCTGGGATAGCACCGCGCTTGGGGCTGGGACCCTGACCGGGACGAGAGGCTGGGCGAGAAGCCGGGGCCAGTTAGCGCACAGGAGGAGATGCGTAATTTTGACAGACTGACGTGGATCGTGCCGTGGTTTGATCCCGGAGCCGGGCCGGGGTAGGGATAGAGGCAGACACAAGACTCCTTGGACGGGCAGATACTGGACTAGGGGCTGGGGACGGGAAAGAGAGCCTAGCAAGCGAGCCCTGGGGCCATCAGGAGCTGGCGGCGCGGAGAGGACAGGCACGGGAGAGCAAGCGCGGCGAAGATCCTTTTAGAATAACAGCAGTGCCCGCTAGGAGCCTTGGGTGAAAGCCGGGAGCGGCGGCTCGAGACTCGGGATCAGGAGAATGATTAAACACGCAGGGACTGGTCCTGCGCGCAGAAGTGGGGAGCGGTCTGCAGACCGAGGCTGATCGGTGCTCCCTCCCTTTTGGGGGATGCCTCAGTTACTGGGATCCTGGGCTAGGTGGCGGCTTGCCTCCGCACCTCTGGGCTCCCTGGTGCTTTCCTTCTCTCCCCTTCTCTCTGTGTCTCTCTTTCTCCTCTCAGCCTCTCCCTCTGTTTTTGTCCCTTACTCTTCCCCCCCCTTCTGTCTTCCCCGTCCAAATCTGTTTCTATCTCTTTGTCTCTTCCTCCCCTTCTCCGTTTTCTCTCCCCCACCCGGTCTCTGCTTTTCCCCCTCCTTTTTGTCTTTTGCCTCCCTCTCTATTTCTCTCTCTCCCCTTCTCCCCTCCCTTTTGATCTGTTTTTGTTTCTTTCTCTCCTCTTCCTTCCCCTTTTCTAATCTGTCTCTCCTCCGTCCCCTCTCCCTCTCTGTCTGCTTTTGTCTCTTTATCTCTCTCCTCTCTGTCTTTCTCTTCCCTCCCTCCCTCTCTGTATCGGTCTCTGTCTCTATCTCTCTCCTCCATCTGTCTTTCTCTTTCTCTCCTCTGCCTCACACTCTCCACTTGCTCTCCTTTCCTCTTTTTCTGTTTCGCTCTCCTCTCTCTCTTTTCCGTCTCTGTCTCTGTGTGTCTGTTTGTCTCTTTCTGTCTTTATCTCCCCACCCCTCTCTCCCTCTGTCTCTGTCTCTCTCCCAGGCCCATCT